TTCCCTTCATTGCCTGGGCCTTTGGGGGCACAATAAATCGTTGAAACCTTTGAGCCGCTCTCATTTTCTTCCGAGTGCCGAAGGGGAATGAGCGCCATCGACGCGCAGGGGATTGGATGGTGGGCCCCACGGGGCTTTATACGCCGACCTCCTGGCGAGGTCGGTCTGGAGCCAGGGGCCTTCAGCAAGTGGCGGTAACTGGGCTAAGGGGCCGTCGGAGGGGTCGGGGCGAGTTTAAAGGAACGCGCGAGCAGAGGTGGAGGGACGCCTGAGATCGCCCTGGGGATGGATCTCACCTCCACTGCCAGCCGTGTCCTGCCGACCGGTAACGGCCTCGTCTACTTGCAGCCCTGACTGGGGGCAGTGTGCTAGGTGCCCTGCGCAGCGATACTGTGCCAGCCCAGGCCCTGCCCCATGCTGCCTGTGGGGCCAGGCAACAGGCCACCAGCAGCTGGTGGCCAAGAGAGGCCTTGGCCTACCCAGGTTTCTGAAGGGATGGGGTTGTCGACCAGCGAAATGAGATGCCTCAGATCGCACAGATTAGACTGGGAGGGCCTGCTCTCTAGGAGTCGCGGGTGAGCATCCCACCACACGACGGTGGTGGGGTGAGGGATTGGTGGTTCTTTTGTGTCTACTTCTCAGGGCCCCTCAGGCTGTGCCAGGGATCCAGTAGGGCAGCTTTCACAAAGATACCAGGCTGGACCCTTACAGAGCTGTTACTCGCCTCAATTATGTTAAGACGTGACAAGGATGAGGTCCAGCCAAGAACAGCGGAGGTCCCAGGGTTCGCCTCACCTGGATCATGACCCAAGGTGTGGCCCGAAAGGTGCTTACCCTCTGAGACTATTAGCTAACCTGGAGTGTAAAGGGGACCCAAACGATTCTGTTCTTTCAATAAAATCTCACTTTCCAACAAAACAAAACATGACTGAAAAACTAGCATTAGGAGAAATGGCCCCAGCCCTGGGACACGGTGGCGTCCAGCATGTGGATAACTGTCCATCTATTTGAGCAACAGGCCAAGGTGTATTCTGGCATGTTCCTTAGAAGGAAAAATTCTGCAAAACAGGGAAGACTTGGGAGGCAGTGGGAGACAGGGAAGGTTCTAGAAGAGTGGATATTTATGTATGCCAGGCTTGCTGAGCCTGGGCTGGGGCTAGGTGATACGGGGAGCTCTTTGCCCGATGTAGGAGACTCCAGAAACTACAAATTGAAGCAGGGTCTTTTGGCAATAGGCTGGAGGGGAGGAAGACTGCTGGGTATGGACCCCTGGCCTGCTGGACTCCTGGACAAGGCTGACACCTCAACCCCCTGGGCAAGTGGCCACTCAACACCCTCTTCAAGTGTCTTCCTAGCCCCATCTCACTGCTGTTGGCTTCCTCCCCAAACTGCAGGGCCAGGTGCCAACGGGAGCCCTACCTGCCCTGTCCTGGGCTGAGCACAGAGGACACAGCAGGGAACAAAACCAGCCCAGGTTCCTGCTCTGCCCAAGCTTCCTGACCAGGGCGTAGAGGCTAATAAGGGCAGGGGCATCATTAGGACCCAGCAATTTTGGGTCTAGGGACACGTGGGCACCCAGGAGGCAGGTAGGCCTAGACTGTGTGGCAGGGACTGACAGCTCTACTCTCCCACCGTGCTCCCACCCTGCCAGCCCAAGTCCTGCTGACCAGGAACAGCCTCATCTACTTGCAGTTCTGACTGGGGCTACTGTGCCAGCCCAGACCCTGGCCCATGCTACCTGTGGGGCAGCCAACGGGCCCACAGTTGGAGGCCAGGAGAGGCCTTGGCCTACTCAGACTTCTGAAGGGATGGTGCTACTGACCAGCTCAATGTGATGCCTCAGACCACACCCTCCAGCCCTAAACCAGAAACACCTAGAGGGCTTGTTCCAACCCCAGAGTCTACCTGGGCTCACCCCAGTTGTCTAAATCTGAATCTGTGGGGCCGAGGCCTGGGAATCAGCCTTCTGACCGGCTCCCCAGGTGGGTCCGAGGTTAAGAGAGGGTTGGTTGGGAAGGGCAGTGGCAGGGCACCCTCGGCACCAAGGCCTCTGACCATCTGCCTTCCATGGACACTGCTCCTTCCTGCCTGATTTCACCGGACAGTCTGACCACTGAGCGTTCTCCCCCCTTCTCCCAGCCCTCCCTGAGCTTGCCTCCCTAAGTAAGGCCCCCTACTCTCCTGACCATCTGTCCTCTGAGGACCCTCCATGAGCTCCAGTGCCCCAAAGCGCCCTTGAAGCTCTGCTTGCTGCTTGTCTCTCCACGTTTCACACCCAAACCCGCCTCCATCAGCAGACTCCTCCTCTGAGGCTGCTGCCCAGCCACCCCACCCCGGCCCTGTCTCCTGCCACGGCCACACCATTGCTTGAAGCCTCAGGCCCGACTTTCGTCTTCCCACCCTAGGCCAGCAGCATTCGAGCACGCTGTGGGGCAGGCCTTCCACGCTCTGAAACATCACTCGCAGTTTTCCTTCGCGACCCAGACCACCCCCACATTCCAGCCTCAGGCCACAGGGGTCTGGGTGGTCACATGACCTAAGACCTGGCCAATGAGCGTTCAGTCAGCTGTCCATTGGCCAGTCGCTGGGTCAGAGATGAGTTCTTGAACCGAGTGGGTTCAGTGTGAGTCAACCCTGGGACTGTTCCTGGAACTACTGAGAAACAGGTGCTTTTTCCACCAGGATCACTAAACGGTAGGGACATGGGGCCAGAGTTGCCAGTGACCACCTTTGGCAATGCATAGAGCCCACCTGCAAAAGGAGTCAAAACAGAAAATGTTGGAACTAGGAAACGGACATAAGCTTAATGAATGGAGCTTCGAGATCCAGCCATGCCTGAGGCTTGGATAGACCTATCATTTGAGTCGATACGTTGCTTTCTGCATAAGCTGGTTTGAACTGGGTTGCTGCCCCTTGCACTGGTCTCTTACTCCTTTGTCTCGTCTCACCCTCCCCACGCAACGTCCTGGACCTCGTCATCCCTTCACGTTTGCTCTTCCTCCAAAACCGCTCTGCTTGTGCCCCACCCTCTTCCCACCTTGTGCCCTCAGCCCCTCCAGCTGGGCTCTGTGGGTAGGCCCCATGTCCCTGAGAGGCACCCCAGACTGAAACCACGTGACCATAACTAACTACACACGAACATGGTGTGTGTCAGGCGCCCTGAGGAGGGCTGCACAGGTCGTCTCTCAACAGCACAACAAGCTCAGTCTTGAGGAAGGCGTTCAAGAGACAGTTTTACTGAAGCAGACCAGACTGGGCAACAAAGTGAGACCTCATCTCTACCAAAAAAAAATCAAAAAATTAGCCGGGCATGGTGGTGTGTGCCTGTAGTCCCAGGTATTTGAGGGCTGAAGTGGAAGGATTGCCTGAGCCCAAGAAGTCGAGGCTATGGTGAGCTGCCAGAGTGCCACTGCACTCCAGCCTGGGCGACAGAGTGAAACTCTGACTCAAAAGAAAAAAAAATGTGCTGATGCAGTTGCTGAGACTCTGGGAGGCCACACAGCTGGCAAGTGGTCAGGTCAGGATTCAAACCCACTCTACATGACTCCAGCATCACTCCAAAGCCGGTATTTTCTGCCCTGACATCACACTCACCTCCTACACTGGGATGAGGGAGTCCAAAATCCACTACTTACTTACTGTGTCTCCTGGACTCGGAGATTGTCTCTTGAGCTCTCAGGGTGATACTTGGTGATACTTGGACCTGCCCAGGTCACATTAGCTGTTCCGGCAGCTCCACCAGTTATGAGGCAGCAAAGAGACCCAGTTATTTCCACAGCAACTGCTGTCGGGGTCACTTACACTTGCAAAATGGGGAGGCAATATCTGCAGAGGTACAGGAGAACAAAACAAGATCCCTATGTCAAGGGCCTCGTCCACAATTATTAATTCAACACCCTTCTCACAAACTACACCAGGCTAGGCACAGGCACAGGGGACTTAGCCACGTGCTGCATAAACCAGGTAAGCCAGCAGCTTCTGGGTAGGAGCATTCCAGACTGTAGACTCAGCACCAGTACAGGCCCCGAGGTCTGGAAAAAGCTGCTGGGTTTGGGGACTGGTGAAAGCTTGTGGTGGTGAAAGCATCAGGGAGATACGACGGGGTATGAGGCCAGAGAAGTCAGTAGGCCTTTGGGTTGCCAGTGTCAGTCAGCTCCGCAGAGGGGAACCAGAAGGGGATATTGGAATATATACACATGTATATCTGATTTGCTGCAGGGAACTGGCTTGCACAATTGTGGGAGCTGAATAAGTAGTTTCTGTAAGGCTCTTATCTCTGGGACTGAGGGAACTTGAAGTCCACAGGCAGGTAGTTGGGAGAGGAAGACCTCTAGCACAGGGGGGACCCCATGAAGACAGACTGAAACTTGTGTCCATTCTTGCTGCCTATGATCTTAATGATGAGGGTATCCTGCAGAAGCTGAAGCCCTTCATCACAAAGCTAATGTGCACACCTGGCCCAGGGGTCAGAAAAACTGAAGAAGAATCCAGGGAAGGTTGAGCAATTGCAGGTCTGGGTGCCACTTCATGCCAAGGAGATGATGAGTCAGCAGATCAGCAATCAAAACGGTTTCTTCCTTCCAACTCTGGCAAGAGTCTGCATTGTGACCCACCCTAATGGGAAATATACAGGGAATTCTGGAAAATGTAGTTCAGCCTGGCAAAGTACACATGTTACAAAGCCAACACAGTCCCCAGTTAGAAAATGGGTGTGGGCAGGGTGAAGGTGAGGAAGGCCTTGGCCAGAAGTTTCACACACAGAGGTTCACAGACTCTAGGCCATGTAGGGCAGTCTGGCCAACTGGAGGACACAGACCCCACCTGAAGAGGGGCAGTGACTACCCAGCTCCTGCTGATGGTTGCCAAGCAGCAACAGGGCCAGAGATTCCCATTTCCCCCCAAAAAATGTCAGAAGAAGAGCCTCCTGAAAGTTTCTAAGTCTTCCTCTGAAGACTGGGAGTGGCCTGACCCATCCAGGGAGGCCTGGAGAAGGTGTCTCAGCCCAGCAGTGGTTCCATATGGGGCCCAGTTGTTGGAGACACCTCCCAAGAGTTGGTTTTTTTTTGTTTTTTGTTTTTAGTGGGAGTCTCACTCTGTCACCCAGGCTGGAGTGCAGTGGCATGCTCACAATCACTGCAGCCTCGACCTGCTGGGCTCAGGCAATCCTTCTGCCTCAGCCTTCCAAGTAGCTGGAACCACAGGCATGTGCCACCATGTCCAGCTGATTTATTTATTGTAAAGGCAAGATCTCACCATGTTGTTCAGGTTGGTCTCGAACCCCTAAACTCAGACAATCCTCTTGCTTTCACCTCCCAAAGTGCTGGGATTACAGGCATGAGCCACCACACCCAGCTCCAAGAGGTTTTTTTTTTTTTTTAAGTGAAAATTAAATTATTTTTCTGAAACTTCCCACTTAAAATATGGGCTTAAAAAATAAATACTCAAAATAAAATAAAATAAAAAATAAATACTCTGGCCGGGTATGGTGGCTCAGTCTGTAAGCCCAGCACTTTGGGAGGCTGAAGTGAGAGAGTTGCCTGAGCCCCTGAGTTTGATAGAGACCAGCCTAGGCAACTTGGTGAGACCTCGTCTCTACAATAAATCATAAAAACTAGCCAGGCGTGGTGGTGTGCGTCTGTAGTCCCAGCTAATTGGAAGGCTGAGGTGGAAGGATCACCTAAGCCCAGCAGGTTGAGGCTGCGGTTGCAGTGAGCGTGCCACTGTACTCGCCTGGGCGACAAAAGTGAGACTCCAACTCAAAACAAAATAAAAATAAAAACATACTCTAGGTCAGGCACAGTGGCTCAAGCCTGCAGTCCCAGCACTTTGGGAGGCCAAGGCGAGAGGAATGCCTGAATTCACGGGTTTGAGACCAGCCTGGGCAACTTAGTGAGACCTCATTTCTACAATAAATAAAAAAAATAAACTGGGCATGGTAGCATGTGCCAGTAGTTCTAGCTACTTAGAAGGCTGCAGCGGAAGCATTACCTAAGCCCAGCAGGTTGAGGCTGCAGTGGTCATGATCATGCATGCCACTGCACTCCAGACTGGGTGACAGAGTGAGACTCCAACTCAAGTTCTATCTATCAAAAAACAGAAAAGGCTGGGCATAGTGGCTCATGTCTGTAACCCCAGCACTTTGGGAGGCAGAGGTGAAAGGACTCCCTGAGCCCAGAGATTCGAGACCAGCCTAGGCAACTTGGCGAGACCTCATCTCTACGATATATAAAAATAAGTAAGTAAATAAACAAATAAATAACAGAACATAACAAGTATTGGTAAAAATATAGGGAAATTGGAATCCCGGTGTACTGGTGGAGGGAATGTAAAATGGTGCAATTGCTGTGGAAACCAGTATGGTAGTTTCTCAAAAAATTAAACATAGAATTAGCATACAATGAAGCAATTACACTTGGGAGTATATACCCCCAAACAATGGAAAGTAGTGACTAGAAGAGTTACAGATGAACCTTGCAGACATTGTGCTAAGTGAAAAAAACCTAGCTGGGTGTGGTGGCTCACATGTGCAATCTCAACTCTGGGATGCTAAGGAGGGGGCATCATTGAGACCAGGAGTTCAAGACCAGCCTGGGCAACATTGCAAGACCCTGTCTCTAGAAAAAAAAAATAGCCAGGTGTGCTGGTGGACACTTGTAGTCCTAGCTATTCAGGAGGCTGAGATGGGAGGACTATACCACTGTACTCCAGTTTAGGCAACAGTGAAACCTGGTCTCAAAAAAAGAAAAAGAAAAAAGCCAGTGAAAAAAAGACACTATATAACTCCAGTTAAATGAGGTATCCAGAGTAGTCAAATTCAGAGAAAGTAAAATGATGATTATCACGGGCTGAGGGAAGGGGAAAATGGGGACTTGTTTATGTGTACAGTGTTTCAGTTCTGCAAGGCGACAAAGTTCCAGGGATTGGTCACACAACAGTGTGAATATAACTGACACTACTGAATTGTATACTTAAAAATGGTTAAGAAGGCAAATTTTATGTTATGTGCATTTTACCAGAATTAAGAATAAATAAATACTATCGGGGACAAACAAAATCAGTGTGTTAGCTGAATGTGGCAGGCAGTCTCACAACTTTTAGATTGCTCAGCTGAATCTTCTATGAGGGTCCTTCTGTACTCAAGACAAGAAGCCCCAAATGGCAGTGTCCTGAAGGAGACTGACCCATAGGAAGCTGTGGCGGGCCAGCCCCTGCAGAGAATCGACGGTCCCTGTATGGTGTGGCGGCATCAGCGATTCTGGAGGGATAGATATAAAGAGAAAGAAAGAGGGGAGAAAGAAAGAGACTGGACTCCTGTCTAGTGCAGAAGCTGTTTAATGGGACAAACCGTAAGCCTTTTATCCTAAAGTTTCACAGGCAAAATCACAAGACTTTCACGTGAACACAAAGCCAGGTGGGTGAGGGGCATCCCTCACCCA